ACCTGTTTCAGTTGAGGATCGGAAATACATGTCCAAAGTTCCATATGCCAATGTTATGGGTAGCTTGATGTATGCGATGGTGTGTACAATGCCAGATTTATCACAGGCCATGAGCATGGTATCTAGGTACATGTACGACCCCGGGAAGGGTCATTGGGAGGCCCTGAAGTAGATTCTATGGTATATTAAAGGTACCGTGGATGTTGGTTTGGTATTTCAGAAGAATGAGAAGACATGGCAGGATTGTATTGGTTACGTGGATTCTGATTATGAGGGAGATCTGGACAAGCGCCGGTCTACTAGCGGATATGTGTTTACACTAGCAGGAGCACCGGTATGTTGGAGATGCACACTTCAGTCTATAGTGGCTCTCTCTACTACGGAGGCAGAGTATATGGCGTTGACTGAAGCTGTGAAGGAGGCTTTGTGGTTGTAGGGATTATTGGAGAACTTGGGGAATGCACAGGAGACCCTTTGGGTATATTGTGATAGCATGTTAGCTATCTATTTGGCGAAGAACCAGGTTTATCATACGCGCACGAAGCACATTGATGTCAGATTTTACTTTGTTCGTGATGTTTTGGATGATGGAGACGTCATATTAGAGAAGGTCCACACGAAGGATAACCCTACAGATATGTTGACCAAAGTTATTTCAGGTGTTAAGTTTGGTCATTGTTTGGAACTTTTGAACATTCTTCGGTGTTGAGGCCTTTCGAGACCATTGGATGAACTACGGGCGGCTTGATTCCTTGGGCAAGAGGATACATAGGCAGTCTTTACGATGCAGCCGGTTTGGATTAGTTGATGGGGGTGAGATTGTTTGGACTCTCGTTCGGGTTCTCGACTTATTGTGGATTGAGTTCGTACTGGACACAACAAATGGGACATTTGGATGCTTTGGTGTCGGCTCAGTTTGGAAAAACTTTACCGAGGTGGAGAATTGTGAACGTGGGGGCCACCCATGTGATTTTTCGTTTCCTTTCCGTGTGAGATTTCGGGCCGCTAATCTCATATAAATACCAACTATGTTTAGCCTAGGGTTAAGAGCAAGGCAGGGGAATAATTCAAGGCGGCTACAGAGGGTTTCGCGAAGGAGGAAATTACAAAAAAAAAGTCGACTGACTTTTCTCTTGGCGGCGGACGAAACTGCAGAAGAAAAACGAAGCCGCTGTTTTTTAGTTTTTTGTGTATCCATTTAAGAGAGTATTTGTGTGAGGGATCTGAGAGTTTGTGTGAGGGTTTAGATTGTGTGATTGTAAACCCTAGTTGTATCTCTCCCTCTAATAGTAGATCTCCCCCTCCTTGCCCCGTGGACGTAGGCTATTTGCCGAACCACGTAAAAGTTGTGTTCTTGCCGTGATTTGTAATAGCTTGTAGGATCCCTCGACAAGTCAGTCCTAGAACTGATGAGAAAAAGAACCGATATCTCACTTTGTTGAGATATTCGCTTCAGATTCTTATTTCCTTGGTGAGACGAGAATTCTTACGATCTAATCTCTTGTTGTGCAACTTGCGCACTGGAGGTGCTGCCAAAATTTCCGCTGCGCACAACACCTTCAACCTTCGTCGTCTCCAGGCCTCCGCCTTCGACTTCAGCCGTCTCCAAGGCTCTGCTTTTGACCGAATTCAAGTCTCCACCTTTAATCTCGACCGACCATCAACAGCGACCTCCAAAAATTCTTCTCCTCAGTTTCTTCTAACACTAAGGTGAATTCGAAACTCTAATTGGTTGAATGAAAAGCCCTAATCTATATGATAAAAATCCTAATTTGCTAGCCCTTCGTTGGGTGGAAAGCCCTAATTTATTTGATAAAAAGCCCTAATTTGCTATCCTTTATTAACTGAAAACTGAAAAGACCTAGTTTGTTTGACAAATGATTTAGCTTAAGGACTTGTTTGGATTGAGGGGAATAAGGGTGAAGGGAAGTTAGGGGAACCATTCACCTTGTTTGGGAACATTATAAGGGTGAAGGGAAGTTAGGGGAACCATTCACCTTGTTTGGGAACATTTAGGAGGTGAAGTTATTCACTCTAGTTCCCCCAACCATTCACCTTGTTTGGGAACATTTAGGAGGTGAAGTTATTCACTCTAGTTCCCCTTGGTTCACCCCCTAATAGTATAAAATTTGTTACCCCTAAATTAGGGTGTAACCAAGGGGAAGGGAACTCCCTTCCCTTCCCTTCCATTCTCTCACCTAGTTTCCCTTAACTTCCCTTAACCCCATTGAAATCCAAACACACCCTAAAATTTTGTGAATTTCTAGAGCACATGCACCTTGAATTAAAGTAGTAAGTTAGAAGCTAAAATTTGCTTCGGAATTAGGAACTACAAGCTACTAATATCAGTGCTCAAAAATTTCAACTGATACCTAAGTGCCAATTCCACACTCATTCCCAATACCCACAAACACACAAATAAATAGAGAGTGCACATTGATGTGTAACTGTAAGTTTGTAATGTCAATTTTTGAAAATTATATACCACGAGAGAGTGCATATCTGAATCTGTGTATCTGATTAATATACGTATCATATCCGTATCTGACTCTCTAATATCCGAACCATAACCGTTTCTGTTTAGTGCGGATATGATAATGCTTTTTTCTTACCGATGAATATCTGAAACGTATTTGTATCCGTTTTCAAAAAGCGGATATGGATATGATAAGTGTCATACTCGAACTGTATACGAACCGAATGCACCCCTAATGAGGAGACTAGGGTTAGATTTAGTGTGTGGGTTTGGTGAGGAAGAATATGCAGGAGAGGAGGGTTGAGAGGTAAAATGCACACTTGTGGCGTTTTTTCAGTGAATAGTAAAAAATCTGTGACATTTAAAACATGTAAGCAAGTTAATGTATTTTACGTCAAAAAGTTGATAAGTTCCAATTTTGATAAGGATAGCTTTCGTGTAAAAATCTTTTTAAATTAGACCATATATTTTGGACTTTCACCCAAAAAACTATTAAGTTGTTATAAATAAAACCCCTATTCAAACGAATATGATGATCGGTTAATTTAGAAATTGAAGATTCTGAGATTTACCGTAGAATTAAAAAATATTGGGGCTCTAATATGCAAAAACTCTTTTTAACAAAATACCTAATGGTTTGGACAGTGTGTAAGGAAGCCTTCTTAAAAATTATTTTGCAGCAGGTCCATCTTACATTGTTTTTTTTAAGCTAATTGTAAAAAGTCTCCCATTATAGTTGAACGATTATAAGATAACTCCCACAACTTTCGAATTATCAGACAATGCCCTTAGGGCTTGTTTATATTTCGTTAGGGTGATAAGTTAGGGGAGAGACGAGAATGCAAGTTAAGGGGGTTCTCTTCTTCTTGGTTATACCGTAATTTGAGGTGGAACAAATTTTGTATTCTTGGGGGTGAACTAAGGTGAATTAGGGTGAACAATCCACCCCTAAATGCTATCCAAACGGGATAAATGTTTCCCTACCTTCCATTTCCTCATATTATCCTCAATCCAAGCAGGACTTAAGTTACGGGCATATTAAAAAACCCTTTAACTTTAAAATTTTATCAAGGGCAAAATTACTAGATGGATATATTTTGTTGATCCTATGTGACAGATTAACATATTTCTTACCGCAGCGATGATTTGGTAAATTTATGCGGTCCACAGTGACAAACACCCTTATATTTTCGTTAGAGCGAAAATTCTGGCCAAATAGAGTCATGTTAGGTGTCACGTACGTCTGACGTAGCTACAATGTGGATGGTAGTTGTGATCACTAAAATGATCTGAAAATGAGTTTCGTTAAAATTAGGGCTCAAAAAAGTAGGTGTTTATTTAAATTAGGGGTGCACTGTTTTTTCATGGGGTTAATTTGGTTAGAGCAACAAAATTTAAAGATGAATTCTTTATAATTCGGGGAAGATTATTCCTTTGCCTCACAAGAATAAAGAAAGAAAAGGCGAATAGAATTTTTTTTTGGTTGGGGGGGGTGGGGGTTGTTACTAAGATCCTGCCACCCTCTAGCCTTGTAAGCCCGCTTAATCTACTTCAGACACATGTGACGCCTCATGTTTCTCTTGGATGAATTTTTGGTTTTGACAAAAATGTAGAGGTATTTTGTCACCATGATCCATAAATACCACATCGTCATAGGAGTAAGAAAATATGTCAATGTGTCACATCCAGTGAACAAAATTTGCAACTATGATAATTTCGCCTTTTATCAAGGAAACCCACTTAGACATTGTTATTCACAATTTTTTCATGGTGGATAAAATTACACTAGGAGATATTTTTTCTAGTGAAAATTGGGGTTATAACTTGTAGGTTGTTCGCTTGAAAAACCATAAAATCAATTGGGTTACAAAACTGAAAAGAAGCAATCAAAACTGAAAAGAAACAATCAAAATTGTACTAAGCCACTTAATCAAATTGTATGATCTGAATATAACTAGCTTAATACACTAGGAGGACCATGTAATTATGTAGCCTTTTTTAGAGAAAGAACAATGTTTGGCAGACACACACACCTTTTGATGATTTTCGTTAATTTTTAGCTGCCTTTTTCTCATCAAGAATTATCTTATATCCTTGACAGTCTATACTATAGGTTAATTTGATATCCAGCACCAGCAAGCTGTATTCATGTTATCATTGAAATTTGACCAAAACACTAAATTTATCCTTCAACCTCAACATCTTGTATTGATTTACGGAAATCTCACTTAACTATATCAGCATACTCAAATATATGTTAGTATAAACTCCACCCCACAATTCTTAAATGCTAAACATTCAGCCATAAATTTTCTTCACACCCAAGGTTCGCAGCTACTTTTTGTTTAAGAATTCGGTTCGGTTTTTTTTGGGCGGTTCAGGGGTTCAAACCAGATCCAAACCGGTTTAATTCGGTTCGGGCGGTTTAGAGACTTCTTCTCATCCATTTAATTCGGTTCGGTTAACCGATCCGTTTTTTCGGGCGGTTTTTTCGGTTGAACCGGTTTGTTTCGGTTTTTGCCCACCCCTAGTTCTATCCCACAAATACAAAATTGAAGAGCGAAGAAGGAGAGAGAAAGGGGAACGCAGCAGCAAAAGAGCTCATTGAGAAGCTCCGATCTCGCTTTTTCTCTCTCTGGGTACGAATTCTACCTCTTTGTCTCTTTTTTCCCATGCTAACATTTTCAAATCGAAAGAAAACCCTCAATTTTCTATTTTAAACAAACCCATTTCACGATTTCTTTCAATGTCGGACTTATGATCACAAAACCCTAGTTTTGTTATGCAAGTACACTTGTTCGAAAAAAATATTTCCTCTTTTGGGAGTTTCTTGATTTTGGTCGTTTTTGTTGCTTATAGGCAATGCGAGGATTTTCTGTGCTTGGAACCCTTCTTTGGGTTCTAGGGTTTGAGTGTATTTAGGTGATTTTCACTGTCGATAGGTTGTTTGCTGTAACTGTTCTGCGTTTCCTGTGTAGTTTTTGCTTAATTGTAGAATTTGGTGTTAGTTTACTTAATTTTTTGAAAACCCCCTTTAAATTTGGTCCCAGAATTAGTGGCCACATTGATAAATGTTGGGGAAAAAACCCTTGAATTGTTTAATTTGATCGTTCATTCTATACATGAGCCCTTTATTAAGGGATTAAAGAAAAGTTTTAAGGGAATTTTTGTAATTTGCCCTTGTAAAAGAAAGCAGTAGGTAATTCAGCTCTAGCTGTCTAGCATTGTAAACACAGTTGATTTTGTTTAGAGACCCTTGTTCTTCCAAGTTAACTACTTTGAAGAAGCCCATTTGATGATCTCTTCCATCCCCGCCAACAATTTCGATATGAACTGCAATGACATTCAATTTCATACCTACAATCCCTAGACCCTAGCTCTTACATGAAGTCTTGTTAGTAAAAACTCTTCCATTTGGGGATTTCGTAAGTTTGGGCATTTTATTAGCAATGCAAGGATTGTTTAAACTCTATATATTAGTCAATTGAAGCTCATCCATTTTGGGTTTTAGAATTTGGAGTATATTTAGTTGATTTATTTGTTGATACCTTGTATAGACTCCTTGATAGATTTTCCTTTTTCCTTCTTGATTGCTGAAATTGCCCCTTTTGAGTTTGGTCTAAAAGTAAGTAGCCAACTTGACAAATTTAGGGCACTGACCCTTAAATTGTTTGATGTGATTGTTCATCCTATGCATCAACCTTATTAAGTGCTTTTTGGAAAAAAAAAACTAAGGGGATTTTGGTTATTAATTCTTGTAGAAGAAAGCAGTAGGTAATGCAGATAGCATTGTACATACGGTTGCTATTGTTTAGAAACCCTTGACTTTTGAGTTGTCTTTTGGTGCTATCTTCGGAATTTTAGGTGTATTATTATTATCACCATCATCTTTTGGGAGGACAGTTTCAAGGTTAATTGTATGTAGTGACTAGTGAAAAGTACTCTTTCTAAGTCGTTATGGTGTACGATTTAAGGAATAAAATCTCGGTGCATGCTTGATGCTGAAATTTTATAAGCCTTTTGATAGCAATTTTTGTTCTTCCTGTATTATCAGGTGCTTCTCTGTCTCTTGCAGTTTATTGTGTAGCATTGACTATCTTAATCAATTTCTTCACAAAGTGTTTTGATGTTACCTAAAGTAGACAAGATGCTCGAGGCAATATGGTTTTTTAGGAAGTCAGTTTAAACATAATACACTATTGTACTTTGTAATTTCTGTTGCAAATGGTTTGTGGATTTTCTTGTTATTGTTGTATGCAAATGGAGGCAACTGCTTGATTTGGAGGACGTATTATATATTCCATTGCAAGTTTGAATATCATTTTTTATCAGAAGAGGCTGCCAGATAAAATTCATGGTCTTTTAAAATATCGGTATGAATTCTTGGGAAGTTTGAAGCTGATTAGCAGTTTAGTACAGTAGTTTGCAGTTCTCGTTGGCAAACTATGTTATCTCTTTACTCCATCTGTGGAATGAAGAAGAGGTTTGTAGAGTTGAGTTTTGGATACCTTAACCTTCGTTAGCCACCTTTTTAAGTGAAAGATAAGGTAAGTGTGTCTAGGTTATATGTAAGGACATCATAAATGGTATTTGAACCTTTTTCAAATGTTCTAACATAGTTTACACAGTCACGTTGCCATTTTATCACTGTTTGATTATAGCATATCTATATTTATATCCATAAATGGCATCACAAATGTTCTAACATAGTTTACACAGTCACGTTGCCATGTTATCACTGTTTGATTATTCCACTCGTCTTTGGGTATTCATATCTATATTTCTATCCATTGCCTTTCATTTCTTGGATGCCGCTGGACGCATCTTTTATTGCATCGGATGCTTGAGTCATCTTTATGGCACCAGATGCTGCATTAACTACTTCTGATTATAGTATCATGCAGAAATTAGATTTAAATCTATTTATGAAGATGACTTATAACTAATTTCACAAATCATTATGGCCTATTTGATTGTTGATTGTGATTATATGTGCTTGGAATTACAATATTAATCCACTACATTGGTAATGAATTTTTTTTGTTTGCTTTGTCTTAGTTTATACTTTTCACTTGCAATACTATAAAACATTACATACTCATTGATTTCATGCCATGAAAAGGTGTCAGTTCGCAGGTATTTTCAATGGTAGTTGTCGATTTTTCTCCCCAATTGTACGGCTGTTTTTGAGATTCTGTCTTGCAGGAAAGGTCTTTGTGGTTCTTGTAAACTAAGTTACTTGTATTATGAGATACTCAGGACTAGAATTCAGCATCATTACCAGAAAGTTTTTGAAATACTAAGGAGGACCTAAGAGTATGTAGATCAATCTATCTACATACCACATATAAAGACTTTGCTACAGTTTGAGTTGGTTAGAAACATTTGGTGTTCTTACACTTCTTGGAAAATTTTGCTTATGGTTGGAAAAGGAGAATTTTGGGTGATAGCTGTTAAAGAGTGTCTTTGCTTCATCTGCATATTTAGCTACTTAAGCACAAATGGAGAAGTGTAGGTGATACATGGTCATGTCAGGAATTGAAACCCTCTAAGACTCAATGTGTAGAAACCTTTGTTTATTGGACTTGGGATGTTAGAAACATTCCTTAATGAGCAAGAGTGTAGTAGTAGGAAAGTTGCAGTCGTCAATTGAAATGATTTGTGGAGCATATGATACATGGATTTTCTTCTCTTTTTTTTATGCAAAAGAAAGTTGTTGCTTGATTTGGATGATGTAATATGCATCCCATTGCAAGTTTGAGTTTCAATTTTTTTTAGAAGAGACTAGCAGATATATTTCAGGGCTTTTAAAGTAAATGTGAAATTTTTTTGGAGGTTTGAAAGTAATCCACAATTTGGTAGGATTATCTAGTTTATGATGGATAAATGCTTGAGATGCTTAGCTAAAGTAATATGTTTCTCATTCAGAGACTGAATATATACTCAAGGTACGTGAAGGCTTCGATTGGATACATACTGACTTCTAACCATTTTGTTATCGTCTCAGTATACCTCTTAGAAATATTTAATACGACACATCTTTTATTATAGGACAAGTTGGAGAGGTGAAAAACATAAAATTTGATTTTCGATTTCTTGGTGCTAATACTGCAGATAACATTGAATGAAGTGGATCTTCGTTTCATTTTCCTACTATTGAATTTGAATATAACATTTCGCTTATGAAAGATTCCCAAATGAGAGGCAAGAATCAACCCCCCTCCTCCTCCCTCCGTGCTTTTGTGTGTCTGTTCATGGACATTTACATGCATGTGTTTATGTGCTGCTTCATCATGGACCATGGTAGTGGGATTTCAAACCTATATACCTTTACCTCTAATAAATAATTACTTTGCAGTTTGTCAGTTTGTCTATTAATTTCCCCCTTTATAATTATGATGAAAGTTTGTTAGACTGGTTATTGATATTGTTCTTGGACTTCAATGCATCTAAATCCTAGAAGTTTAAGCTTATTGAGTAGATTTTTGTGGTCCAAAACAGGTTGTTGGATTGGTTATCTTGTTATTTTCCTTGGACTTTAGTGCATTCAAATCCAAGCTGTTTAAGCTTATCATGTCCAAATTTACGATCCGAAGCTAATTGTTCTCTTATAATTGGGGTAAGGACTTGGCTGTTCAGTTACCATATACAACCATATAACAATATTTTTCCAGCAGGAAAGAAGAATGATATGTTGGGCTATCATTAATTATCAACTAAGTAGTGTACTGAAGAGTTAGCTGTGCGGTTTTGGTCTCTGCTTGTAGAACAAGATGCCATGAAACAGGTTTTTGTCTATGTAGATTCTGTTAGTGGTAAGAACCCTTAAAAGGATAAACTATTTAGATTGTATAAAAATATGGCTAGGAAAAGACACTATTTGAGCTATTGACTCGATAGCTAGGGTAGTGGAGTACGAGTTACCTAGTTGGTACAGACATACATTAAGGAAATTAGTACGTATTAGGAGGAATCCTGGTATAGCTGAAGTCTGAGAAGTTTCTGCTTAGGCGGTTGACGATTCCTAGGGGGGCTTTCGTTTGTGATTTTCTACCTAAGGTTCTTGAAATGAAAAGAAAAAGATAACTCAAATTTGGAGGCTTGGAGTAAACGACTCCACTCTATGGAGAGGCTGCTAAAAAGAAAGTATTTTACATTATGTTTTTTCTTTGCAATATATCTCCAAAGAGAAAGTGATAAAAGAAGCAGAGTTTGTTTTTGTGGGAGGTTTGTGTGTGTGCGCGTGCGCGTATTCCCTTCTTTTATTATTGTTGTTCTTTCTTTGGTGTTTTTTCTGGTGGGGACGGGGGAGGGGTGCAAGTAATATGCAAAAAAAATGATGGCTGCTCTTAAAAAGGCTTTGCAGACACTACCAAAGTTATATCCCCATTTCTTAATTTAAAAAAACAATTAAAGAAAATAGTTACAATACAGAAATACAGCAAATATTGATAAAGAATGACACAATTGTCATGTGCTTCCAAGTATATCTCATACATCTAAGGAAGCTCACATATCTGACAATACCTTATGAAATGTAAACATCAAATACTATGGCATCTTATTGATAAGTATGCATATTCAATTTAGGTATACCCATGATTTATGTATGAAAAATCATAATTATTATTGCATTTCATGGCTAAAAGTTTCATAAGTGGTGATAAAATCCTTTCAAGAATTATCTTCAAGTTTGTAAAAAAGATAAAAAAAAACATACCTAACAAAACGATAAAACAAAAAAATTAGAATTGAAAAAGAATAATTGTGAAATTAAACATGATAACATAAAAGAACTATAATGATCTCTACCTGAATTTTCAGAAACAACTTGAGAGGGTTTTTTAAATAAAAAAATCGATGATGAGTTCTAGTATGTGCTGACCTTTGGAAATTTTTGCAAAAAAATAAACCAAAGATCATAAATGAACTGTGAAAGGAGTAAAAAAATAAGAATGAAAAATTTGCAACTCTTATTCAATCTTCACAATAAAAAGCATGGATGGATAGGATAACATTAACAACAAGAGATTTGGTAAGTTTAAAAAAATTCTAGAGTTAGTTAGATCTAGGTAATTGAGATTTCAATTGATTTAAAGTCCTTTGCGTGTTCCCAAAAATGAGCAGTATATTTGATTTCTTAAAATTAAATTAATCAATAAATATGACATATAAAACTCTGTTTAGCTAAAGAGTTGAGTACGTAAGTTAATTGTTATTATTATTATTATTATTATTATTATTATTATTATTAATGTAAAATGATGTTTATATATGTAACCAATGTTTAAAATTGTATTTATTAAAAAAACTGTTATTAATTTAGTAGTAATTTTCAGAAAAATTGCATAATTATAATATATACAATAGCTATATTTCTTATATAAAGAAATCTCAAAAATATATATCAACAATTTAGAGGATCTTTCTGATCATTTGGAGTTCTTTTTTTTCCACATCATGATTTTTAAATGTAAATTTGGTAATAATATTAATTGTTCACCTTTGTTTGTACAATTCTATAAGCGTATTAGGATGACATTCATACAAAGATAAGGCAGGTATTAGAAGACAGAAATGTGTTTATGAGATTATTTTTAAAATCGAGGTATAGAAACATGGAGGTATGAGGTTAAATTTGAAGGGGATAAAATAATATATGATAGGTTTTGGAAGATATAAATGCGTTTTCGGTGTGTTTTCTAAGTAAGATAGCAAAACATGAAGTTATAACCGTGCTTAGCACGGGATAAAATACTAGTATAGTTATAACTTATAACAATACTGGAGTTCTACAGGTAAGACGGTTAAAGTTTGATGTCCATATTAATGATGAAAACAAAATTTGTTTGAGACGTCTCAAGTTAAAACATCATTATCGACTTTGTTATAAAATGGGAAAAAAAAGATCATAAAGTAAGTTGGACCTCTTAAAATGCCATTTTTTTAAAAAACATTCCTGTTTTTTCTCTCTCACCAAATAGTAACTTTAAGTAAAACATTGTGAAAAAATTAATTTAAAAAGGGTATATGTGCAAAACGAACTAACTATTCTGTGCCAGTTTCAGTTCATTGGTCCAAATCTCCAATTCCTACAACATTTCTTCTCCATGGTCCCAAGGAATGTTTCCTTTTCCCCAGTTTCTCTCCTTGAGCTCCTCCCAAATTAGGGTTAGGGTTAGAATTTCAAGATCCAGATCTCCCCCAAATCCTCCACCATGAGCTCCGGCTACAGCCCGATCCCAACGACGGCCCCACCGTCCTATTTTTTCCCCTTTTGTTCTCTAGTTCTTAGTTGGCGTTTTTCCATGCAGATGGGGTGGGCAGGGGTTAGATAATATGTAAAATTAAAATGATGGCTGCCATGATAATCCTTTCCATACATTATCTAAGTCGTATTCCCAATTCCTCCAACATTAGTATGATCTATTGGTTTGCTTACATGTTATCTTTTATATATTGTTTGTTCAAACAATTTTAGTCGATTTTATTGTGTTTGATGATGTTGTAATTTGTTATCTTTCTCCAAAACATCTCTAGTTAGTGCATGTTAACTGGGCAATGTTTTCTTTACAATTTCATGTTTATACTGTCTTTCCTGGTCGTAATAACATCATGCTACTGGACTAGCATATTGGCATTAGATGTTATAGTTTGTACTTTTTCATGTTAAAATTGTGGGTGCAGTTGGTTGCTGGTAAATTCTGATCAGAGCCTGAATGGTCAGTCTTTAAATAATCAGCTAAATGGCTACTTTTGAAATAAATTGCATAAACATATGAATTATCTGTCGATAGATGCTGAGCAGACCTTAGTTTTCACAAGGTCCTAAGATTGATTAAAAGTACGATACATCACAAAAGGCATATTCACTGTTGTGAATCTATTGCTTGGAAAGGCATTGGTCCTTCCCCTTTTTTCTATTTTTCTTTTTCATGAATTCTTTTTTATCCTTTTCAGTCTCTCTTTTCCTGTTTCTTTTTATTCAGTGGAACGTAATATGAATGTTTTAAGGAGGGAACACTGAACGCGACATTTTGCTTTTTCTGCTTAGAATTTGCTGCCCTAATATGAATCCAATGACTGAAAGCATGTTAATCCAATCTCAAGACTGATTTCATTTGACATGGGATACATTTTGTGTGAAATGCTTTCTAATAATAAAATTTATATATCAAGAAGGCTCATCATATTTATTGTTTATTGGGTTTTCAATAGATCACAACCATGGTGTTTCTTGAGATTGACATGGCAGGGAACATCCTGATCCCACCTGATCAACTCGACACAAAAGGCCTCCTCCTACACAAAGCAATAATCCTTCGCCTACTGCAAGATATCGCGTCAAAAAAGTCAACCAAGGAGCATGGATGCTACGTTGCTGTCACTTCTCTGAACAAAATCGGCGAAGGCAAGATCCGAGAGCTAACTGGTGATGTTCTGTTCCCCGTGGCCTTCAAGTGCCTTGTGCAGAAGCCGTGCAAAGGCGAGATCTTGGTTGGAACCGTGGATAAGATTCTAAAGCACGGGATATTCCTCAAGTCTGGACCATACGATAGCATTTTTCTTTCTGAGAAGAAAATGGGAGATTATCATTTTGTCGCTGGAGAAAACCCGGTGTTTATGAATGAGAAGCGGTCCAAAATGGAGAAGGATGGCATGGTGAGGTTCAAGATTCTAGGATTTCGCTGGAATGAAGTCGACAGGGCCTTTCAGGTTCTCGCAACAATCGCGGGTGACTTCCTCGGCCCCATCTCTGATTTCTAGGCTTCTGCTGTAAAACTCTTGTGTAGTTAAAGACTTTATCCTATGTAGTTGTTTCCATATAGAATGGATGCTCCTGCAAATTGAGCTTGGTGTTTTGGAATTCTGTGTTATGTGATCCCCTTTTGTTTAGAGGGGAAGCAAGCTCAAGTTTGTACTATGACACATTGCAGTGCACTAATGTTGTAGGTCTCAACTGTCTAAAAAATGTTCTCTAAAGATTGTTGCGTTTGCGTTGTCAAAATTGGTTTTGGTGAATTAGGATTATTTCCTGTGGACGTGATATTATGCATTTATCAGCTTTAGCTATCTACATGCGACATGAACTTAGGGGGTGTTTGTTTGCATGCAAGTGAAAGATGAAAGTGAGAAAATTACTTTTATTTAAATTTAAGGTGTTTGTTTTCATGTAAATGGTTATGAAATTGAGATGTAAGAAAGTTGTCACATAAGATTTAATGCAATTTTGACTTCCCCTAAAAAAGTGATGAAGTCACATGAAAGTGACAAAAATGTAGCTAATTTAATTAAATGATTTTAATTGTATTTTCTAATTAATCTTATTCTGTCACGTTATTTTTACATTGCACTCTCGATAATAATTTAATTTTTTAAACAAACATTGTATTTCACTTGCGTACTGATATGGATGTAAAAGTTATTTGTAAAAAGTAGCTTACATATTTTAAATTCTTGCCAAACACCCCCTATCCTGTGGGAGATTTGAGTAAACCCAAAGCTGGGGCCTACAGAAACACTTAAGCCTCAGATCAATTGATATCACAACAATTCAAACAGCATGTTGAATGGAGTATGTATTTGTTTGCTCTTGTTATTTTTGCCAATAACATGAAACCCATAGTTGCATCCAAATGAACATGGCCCATTTGGTGGGCTTTTTCTTCGCTTTGTTACAGCTGTAGCCTATGTGGCTGTGGCCCCACAAAACATGTATGTGTTGAAATTTGAGTATGAGATATTTTAAGTGCATCCACAAAGACTGTCAAGATACCCCTCATATTTTACATATTTGCAAATTTACCTCTAAAATGCTGATATTTGTAAAATTACCTCTCATTTCTTTCACATTTGATTTTTTCCACACCTCCCACCCCATAATTGTGGTTTCAAAGTATGCGATGTCAAAAAGTTTCCAATAAATTTGCAATATTTTCCCGTTTGTAAACTTAAATTATCAAGTGGGTGAGATAGTATTTATAAAATTACGCCAAAAAACTCAAAGAAACTTTTTTTTCAAGATAATTCCTCCAACTTCCATTGAATAAAAAATTCGCTATTTTTTCTCTCTAACCAAAATATCAAATAGGAACTTTTAAGTAAAACACTGTTAAAAAAACCAATGTAGAGTAGAGGAGTATATGCGCAAAAAAAAAAAGCTAGTTATCCTATTCCGAGTTCAATTCATTGGTCCAAAGACCAAGTCCACATACATTTTCCGTTGCATCTCTCCCCCAAAAAGAACGTTTCTTTTTCCCTCATTTGTTTCTTCCCCTTGAATTGGTCCTCCAAAATTAGGGTTAGGGTCTCAAGGTCCAGATCTCGCCCAATTCCCTGATCTAGGGTTCCACCATGAGCTGACCGCTTTTACGCGACGCGGATGCCAACGAAGGCCGGCCACCGCGCAATCAACGGGCTCCTCGCGTGCGCTCGGCTGCCGCCAGCCGCGCGGCCGGCCGAACGGCCGTCTCCTCGCACGGCCTGCCGCGATCTGGTCTCCACCTAGCGCCAGCGCCGAAAGCCGGCTATCGTCGACTGCCGCCGGGCCGGCGGCCCCGCAGTGGCGCGAGCTGCGGGTGTGCGACGCGGCGCCCGGTCTGCTTCTCTGCCGCGGCGCGCTCCTGCCTCCGGCTCCGGCGAGGCCCGCGGCCCTCCGCCTCCGCGCCGGCAACGGCCGTCTACGGCACGTTCCGCGTCAACTATACGCGCCCGCATGATCGCCGCTCAAGCTCATACCCTGCTTGCCCTCAAGCCCCTTGCCTCTACGGCGACCCCCATCTCATGCTCGTTTTCAGCTCCGGCGGTTCCTTCGGTCGGCTCTTGGTTCTTGCCCTACTAGGGCTTCTGTGCGCGACGATGCCGCGGCGTGCGTCGTCCGCTCGGTGCCGATCTGTCGACGAATCGGGCGTGGGGGGGGGGGGGGGGGGGGGGGGGTGGGAGGGGGGGGGCAGGGTGCTGGTCGCCCTCGCCCCGTCGAGTGGGCGTGACGGGGTGGTGGCGGCTGGTGTTATCGGTGGTGTTGGGGGGACGAATGTGTTGGGTCGCTGGCGGCGTTCGGCGGTTGCCTTGGGATTATTGTGGTGCATGCGACGTTTAGGATCACTGATGATTTGTTTCTTGATGAGAATGAGGCGGTCAATGGGGGGTTGCTCGCGTCGGTGGTCGGGAGCCCGATGAGGCAGCCGTACGTGAGATTGGGGTGAATTCTTGAAAAGGAATGATTTTTTGTTCTTCTCTTTTTAAGGAGAGATGATGGTCCTAATGCTAACAGTTCTCGAAGCTTCGACGATTGAGGTTTGATGCTCCTTGTACATCCTTGTAATTTCCTTTTGCTTTCCTTTTGTGAATTGTTATGGCAACTTTGGCTTCGAATATGCATGGCTGGTTTGCTTCAAGTCGGGAATTTGGAAGTCGTAATGTGGTATTATATGTTTGTGCTCTTCTTTTTGAGGTTTGGTTCCTGGTTTGGTTTTTGAGGTTTGCTTCAAGTTGGGAACTTGGAAGTCATAATGTGGTGTTATATGTTTGTCCTCTTCTTTTTGAGGTTTGGTTTTCCTTTACTGACTGTCTATGCGTGAAGGGAAATTATTTGTAATGGCTATCATCTTGCTGAAACTGTATATGCAATTCAATATTTCTTCAAGTCATGGCATTAAAAACAACTTCTCCTGATTTTTGTTGTTAAGAACTTAAAATTTATTGCATATTTGTATAGTTTATTATAGTATTGCATTCTAATTGTGCATATCAGGTACTTTGTTTAAGAACCTTCTAGAATCATGTTATCTTTTTTCCTTATTACACGGATACTGGTGTGTGTGTGTGTGGACGCAGGCATGGGTGTTGATTCAAGGCACTGCAAATTTTTAAACGGTAGGATACAAGGATTGGCTATATATACATACATACACACATACATACATACATACATATTGAAATTTATAATGTATATGAGATCGATGTTGTTTTTTTCATTCATATGTTATGAGAACTAAGCGTGCCTTGATGAAGTAAGGCTTGAGAGACCTCTTGATTATAGTGTAGATCCCTTTCAGTTGATTAACTATCAGTTGAGAATCGCCATACACTGTAAGAGGATCAATCTTCATCCCCAAAGCTATCTTTTTAACGTTTTTATGTTTCTTTTATTAAGTATATTATAAATTGAAAAACTGCTCATCTTTGAACTAGATATCCAAACAATCCTTTAAATTCATACTTATGCATTGGGGTATTGGCTGAAATGAATTCAACCTAAGTCCAACGAGTTGCAGTAGAAATTTGACGTGAAGTGTAAGATATACGTCCAAGAAGTGTATCATGAGTGTTTTAAGCTAAAACATGTATTATATAATCGAGAGCATGTCAGAATAAAAATATATATATTCAAGAAGTATCCAAGGAGTGTTGAACAGGGACGCGGATATGGGAAGTGTCGGACACGGACACAGGAGTCAAAACGAAGTGGTGGGCTAATCTAGCTTTTTATTAAATGTTATTGTTTTCTTCTCTTAAGTGTTAAGGAGAGGGTTTATAATCAAGTAACCATGAGGAACTCTTTTCCTTTTTAAATGGATCTTGATGAAAAAAGGACACATGTATCTGAAGGGATATGTAAAACGTACTTCCAGCGGTAGATTGAAGCACTGATGGCACTGCTTAGCTATATTTAGTCAGAGGTTTCATGCATTGGTCATTTCTGTTGGCTTATGTAAATTTACTAAAATGAAGGTATTCGAATCTATGTTTCTAGATGGGCTGACGAGCTGGCCGAAAAGGAGAAAGTGTTTTAGGTTGCAAGAGATTTATATACTTCTGTACATGATAGTTTAATCTTTCAGTGGTAGGATGCTAAAGTTGATGTTGATCTCGAATTAGCAAGGACGCACTTAGAAGAGATATATGATAGGATTTTGGAATATATGATGACATAGGAATTTTATGGCTGGTGCTAAAGTCTTCAAGTGTTTTAGTGGGCTAATAACTTGGAGGCATTTGAGCATAAGTTATTAGTGCTTTTTATCGGCTTTGATTTTATATTTATCACATACAAGCACATTCTTGTATGTCTACATTCGCACATGGTTGCGCATGGTGTTAGTTCGTACATAGTGCCACCAGGGCTCTTTCGTGATCTTTTCTTACATGGTTTCTATTGTTTAAGCACAAAATTATCATCGATTCTTATTCTTAATATGCGAGAGGTGGCTTTTTTATAATTTTTAGATATTTAGATAAATTGGTCCATAGGAAATTCCGTCCTTTTTTTTAGTTTCTTTTTCCCCTTTCCCCATGCTATGGTGGCTCCAAACTTGCAGAATAAGTTCAGAATTATCTGTGTAATTTCATTTCTTTATTCCTCTTTAGCAATTCGAGTTTCTCCCACTGTTGCATAATAATACTTGTTTTGCCATAATTTCTGTACGTTCTCTTCTGTTCAAATTGAACTTTGCATATGTTGGAACATGCTTTTGCTTGACTACTTTGTTCAACCGTCTAGATGACCGTACGTATTTTCTAATTAGCATATTTGCTTGCCTAAGCTGTTCATGACTCAAAGCTGGGTAAACCCATGAGGGTTTTACAGACATCTTGAGAAATATTTCGAGGTTCTGTAAGGAGTCATCCTCGTGTGGTGTTTAGCTTATTTTCCCTGATTTAGGAGTGCAGTGTTGGAGAGGATTTCAGAATTTTTGATGTCTGAATTCCATAAGAACGAAAAGGGAGAAGGTATCCTTTTCCAAAGTTTTCTCCCCAGAAAAATACATGCCAACTGCGCATTATTCAACTTCTTAACATTTGCCATCAATATTCCATTACAAACTTGCAACTCTACCTGCAAAAAGAGAACCCAAGCTACTTTTCTTTCCCAGGATATGTTGTTGTTAGCTTTTTTTAGGCCTGATAAGGCTGATCGCGAATGATATGAGCAGAGAATGTTTTAATGTGCGTATGGTACATATGCATATGGACCTGCTAAAATATGATTGTTTTTTTTTTTTTTTTTGTATGGACCTGCTAAAATGTGATTTGAGGTTGAGTATGAGCTGGACTTCGAAGATGGGCCCTTCCACTTCACTCTCATATTCTTTTGTTTCGTTCTGTACACATTAATCAAGCAGTTCTCTATCCTCAAACTGCAGTGTCCTTTATCCTAGGATGAGGTACACAGACTGTTCAGAAATTTTTATTAAGGTGTGAACTAAGGGTCCATTTGGATGAAGAATAGGGGGGCTTTGGATTTATGACACAGTTTGCTTTTATTAAAATTTCCAAGAATATCAATTTTTTTTTTGTTACTTTTGGGTAACTATTATGAAACCCTTTCCAAGTTTGATCATTTGTTAGGAAACCCCCCTATCATCGTCAGTTTCTTATTACAAAACCCTTGCTGTTAATACTACCGCTAACTAGTCCTTAACCGTATGTGCAAGGTATATGCTGTTTTTCTCGCTGAAAATACGTACCTTAATTATCATATTATGCTTCCCCAAAGTATTATTGACATCAATCGCCTACTTCCTCTCCACATCAAGCCTAGCGGATAACAAAGTATTTGCGACATCTCACTGATTATTTAAAAAAAAATAGAAGAAGTCCATTGCATCCTCTTCCGCTTTCTGTATACTGATCACAACTTTATCATGTTTTTGATTCGCCCTCGCTAACATATTCTTCGGAACTAAGGGGTTGTTTGGTTCCCCATTTTTGAGGGAAAGCCACTATTGAAAGCCTGTCAAATGTGTCAAAAATGTTACTTTTTGGCAGGCTTTCAAGCAAAATCCTCTTTTTTTAGAAGCGTTTTTGCTTAAAGCCTGCCAAAGAAGTGACACTTTGGCAGGCTTTCAAAAGAATTTTTTTTTTAACCAAACAGCCCCTAAAAACACTATTTTAGCTGTTCCTCGTATATAATATTTATGTATATAATAAGTAATCAAACTTGCTCAGTGTATCATAATAATTACCCTTTGTTTATGTAATGAAAAAGTGACAGTGGGGGTTTCCTAATAATAAGTGATCAAACTTGCTCAGTGCTTCATAATAATTACCCTTCATCTACGTTGAAAGTTACGTTGCATTTTAGATGTAAGGTTTCCGCTCTCTTCTCAAAATCCTTGTGAGAGGAGAAGATTTTGGAAACAAGATTCTCTTGATGTGTCATCAAATCCCAAATCCTAATTACTATCTTTCCTTGAAAATGTGGCTGCTAAAAACGCAAGGATATACGCCGAAGCCTAAACATTACTATCTTTCTAGGAATGGCGTAACATTCAGGAGGACCGTTTATGGGCCAAATATATGGGCCGCCCAAGCTCATCACACGCGCTAACATGGGTCATTCAATGCAAAAGCAGATCAAGTCCACCTTTGTCGGTTGACACCCGAGAGCCCATTTATTGCTGACGTCACCCCCCGCACACCCATGCACGTGATTATCCCATTCCCAGCACCGACCTTTTACGTGGGGAGATCAAGGAACTTAGACCCCCGAGGTCACGTGCCTCCCCCCCTCTCTCACGGGGGAACCATCTGCCAGCTGTAATAATAACCTAATATCAAAATGAACAATTTGAACTGTTTCACGCAAAACTCTCCTAAAACTGTATTAACAATTGAAATTATCTCTAAACTGTACATAAACTCCGCTTAACTATTGAAAAAATTTCCTGAACCGTAACAAACCAAAAAATTTATTGTGAAAACGTTGGGGTGATGAAAAGCGCAAGTCGTGCGTGTCATAAGTTTCGGACGCTTTGCACCGTGATCAAGGCTTTGGGGGTTCGTTGGAAAATCACAAAAGTTGAGGGCTTTTCGGACTTTTAACCCATCAAATTTGTACATACATACGTATTTTAGTATACGATCAATGATTTGTGATGGCTCCGTCTGCAGGCGAGAGAGTGATAATGGGGCCCACTACAGTCAAACGGATTGCTCGCGGATCTCCAGGACCGGATCGGTTACGCGACAGCAACCGCGGAATAGAACACTGTTTCCTTCAATGATGACGCGTGTCCAGTTGGATTCCCGTTGGATGACGTGGATTGTTTTCATTCGTTAATTAGAGTTTGAATTAGGTTTTACCTTAGACAGGTGATTGGATCGTCGGCAGGCCTTGTTTCGGTCTATACGGCGTATAATGTGACCAAAATTTCTGCTTATCTTATTAAAGTTTTAAATTTAAGATATATGGCTCTTTTTTATGGGAGCCCCCGTGTTCTACTGAAATTACATTATCTAGATGTATGCATCATTCTACAATGTCATAAATTGCATTACTGATTTGTATTAATGTAGCCATGTTATCCTAAACAATGATATATATATAGCAGGCTTGAGTTTTCTTTTGTATGTGATAGTTGTAGAGTGCAACATATATGGATTTCATTACAAAGAATTTGAATCCGAACCCTTAGTGCAGTAGGACTATGTAGTTCTTAGTATAATGGGACATATGTTAGAACTATTTAATTCTCTCTTTTTGTTTTTTTATAAAATTAGAGTTTCACACATACTACTCTTTCATGAGTAAGTAAAGTGTTGTTCTTGAAAGTGAAAAAGTACGCTACATCAAATTTATCAAAAATCAAGTTATGTAAGTATCAAAAGTGGATGTGGAAATTTGCTTTTAACTTAGGGTATAAAAAGTACACATCAATAAATTAGGATGGATAAAGTACACATTAATCAATAAATATCATTTAAGTTCGCTATTCATAGATTGAATTTTCAATCTATATACCTTCAAATAAAATTCTGAAATAATGTCCATTTTCATCAACGTAGTCAATGTAATGTTGTAAGAGCATCTCCAACAGCTTCTCTAAAATTTTCTCCAAAATGGGGAAGCAAAAGTCATATTCTCCAAATTATTTTTACACCAACTTCAACAGCTTCCCTATTTTGAAGAATCTCTTTTTTCCTCCAAAAATTTGAAGAATGCTACAGATTTGGGGAAGCTTCCCCATTTTTTCTCCTCCATCCTTATTTTGGGGAATGAGATGGGAGAATCTGTTGGACCAAAAACCTAACTATATTCTCCAAAAGTGAGAAATGGGGAAGCTGTTGGAGATGGTCTAACTAAATCAATATAGCAATAAAATTTCATAAAACTAGGACATGACCTCGGTAACAACAATATTACATGAGTGAAAAGGCATTTTATCTATCATGCTAATAATACTTTACATAAACCCCAAATCATACAAGAAAACAGATTAGATAGATGAACAGGAATTGGTGTTGAACTCGAAATTTTCATTTAAAAATCATGGAGTTGACAAATTGTAAACAAAACTAGGACTTTTCAGTAAATAAACCCCGTTACACCCTCTCGCCACCCTCTAACTAACTGTCTCCAGACAATTCTCACGCCCTTCACTTTCCCTCCACACGCAAACCTAAGAATCCCCAAAAAAATTAGAAAATAAATTTTTAAAAAAAAATTAAAACCCAAACCCCAATTTCTTCCTGCTGCTTCTCTCTGAGCTGCATCAAATCTCGCAAACCCTAACCCTAACCCTAGAAAATTCCCCCAAATGCTCGTCCCCTTTGATCGAAGATGAGGCT